CAATGATGTATATGATATGACACATAAGAATGATCAATGATATATATGATATGTTATGATCAATGATATATATATATGATATATATAAGAATGATCAATAATATATATGATATGATACATAGGAATGATCAATGATATAATGTAGATATAAAAGAGAATGAGTGAGAGTTACATTAACGTCACACTGTAAAGCTGCACGAGGACTATTGGTGATGGACCTCGTAATTTTGAACCATGGTCAAGTGACCTGAGCTGGCACCCCCTCTTCTAAGATCGACATCATACCAACGGGAAAACGCTTGTGAGCCTCGATAGGTTTACCTAGCAGCGACTCCCTCTACCCGGGGGGGGGGGCTCTAACAGCAAGACCCTCGAACTCATGACACCCCAGGCTTGAGTCCGTTACCCTGACCACTAGGCTATCACGACCACAATAATGAAAGAACCTGAAACCTTAAATGTTCAATAAATTTCGATAATTTATATAATTACTATTTTCGCTTTGGAACTCCTTAATGCATTTGCTATTTTATAGGATTAATTATGGAATAGGTATGAAATAACAAGCAAAACGTATAACAATCTAGAAAAGGCTGTAAACTCTATTACGGAATGAATTGGATTAATGACATTCCTGAGCAAAACCCAAGAGATTAAAGACAGTCGAAACTAATCTCAAAGGAAAGATCCGGAGGCAACGGAGTAAAAAAAATAACACTTATGTAAGAAATGGAGTACTTTTGTTATTTAATTTGTTAATGTTACGAGTTGCAAGATAGATAGCTGATGATTGTTTGAAATAAAAGGACTTACAGAGAGAAGATTTAGAAACATTGCCACTTCTGTTTAGGATAAGTTATTTCATCAACACACACACAAAACCGTTAAATAGGACGCATATTTGTTAACACAGAGGAATTTAGTAACTACTTGATGTTACAAATCAGAAATCAGGGAATATTTGCGAGATTACTGGTTATTGACATTTCTATTAAAACTTTAAAAAAAAACAAGAAAGGCTATAGTTAAGTTAGTAACGCATAGTAGGACCGAGATTATTAATAAATGATACTCTAGAAATTTAACAAATATCTAATCGAGCATAAATAGCATTACTTCTAGAAACGATTAAATAAAAAAGACGTTTGAGCTGAATCCTGTCTTTTCTGACTTTCACACGAATAATAATCACAACTAAAATTCAATAACTTTTTTAATAATCGAAAATTTTCTCAATCAAAAAATCACCAGTTTAAAAAATTAGATGTTTTAAAATTTGTTTTTTGTTTCAAAAAAATGAAATGATGATTTACATGATGTTTCATTGTGAAAAACGTTTTCTACCTAAATTCATTTTTTATTCGAATAACAATTTAGGAAGTCCTAAATATTTTTTCGCCATGATAGCCGAGTAATATTCAAGTAAAAGACCCTTCATGTCGAGTGAAGGAGTGATACTGGATATTTGTGGTGCAAGAGCTCCATTAGGCTGTGTTACAGTAAACAATTGTTGAGAATGTCAGCAAATTTGAAAACAGATTTAAATAAAATCAAGTAATATAAAAAATAAGTCAATTTCTACTCATATCAACAAAGAAAAATTTTATTTTAGTTACTTTTTCTTAAATAATTACAATTAATATAAATATGTATATACATATGACAGAATCACAATATTAAGTGACAAAATAGAAAGCGGTGCTGAATTCTATATATGGTGCTGGACTATTTTTTTGTTTGTTAATATTTATTCATCGATTAAATTTAATCATTTTAATGAAATAGTATAGTAGTAAAAAATAAATCATTCTAATGAAATAGTATAGTAAAAAATAAATCACATTCTCAGAAACTAAGCCATCCCAGGTGTAATTCGAATCCGCGACCTTTGGATTAAAAGTCCAACGCGCTATCCATTGCGCCACAGGAACACAACAAATAATTTTCCTTTCTATATATGCTGTTGGACTATTATTTTTTTCGTTACTATTTATTCGTTTTTTAATTTGATTAATGAATTAATGTTTGGAAAAACTGTATTAACATCAAGTGTCATCCACTACAAGCTTTAAAAAATGTGCTTCAACTTGAATGGATGAATAGAAAGTATTTTATATTTTATAAGCGATTGAAAATGTGAACGATATATATATATATATATATATATATATATATATATGGAGAGAGTGAACTAATAGTAGGAACTGAAAAAATAAATGATGATTTGTTAAGTCAGGTATATTTATAAAGTAAAATTCGTTTAAACCTCATTGAAAATGTAATAATTATAAGTTTTAAAATAATGATTCTCATAAATATGAAGATAAAAAAGGTTAATTAATCCTTTTTGGTTTCTTGCTTGTGTTAAATAAAGCCTGGAGTAAGTCTCAGTATGACATTCCTGCAAAGATTTATCAACAACATACAAAATCAAGTCCTCCTCGTCTGTTGGGTCTTCTACAGGTATACATATTATAGATTTGATGGGTGGAATTTTTATTTCTATTTACGTTTTGGGTGAAGATGTTGGATGTTGGATGAATGTTGGGTGAGAAATTTTATCTTAAGTAAACCTCTTTTACGAATTTTTGTACTGCATTTGGAAAGCCTAAGATGCGGTAGATGCAACAGATAACGGTAGACGATTCGAAGTGGAAATATCAAATGCAAAATGATGGTTGAGTTTCAATTGAATTTAAAAGACATTGAAGGCAGAAGATAAGCTTCAGTTGGTAAGGATGAAGAAATCGATGAATATAAGCTGTTGGATATGGAAGGGGCAATAATTGGCTGATGAATATGGTTCAGATTCTGATAATAGGATATGGACGTTGGACGTTGTGGAAGACAAAAGATGTGCTTGCATTGAAGATGATGATTTAGAAACTGTAAGTATCGAGGAAGATGTAATTAGTATGAAATTTGTTGGAGCTCATGGCTTAAGACATAGAAAAGATTGACATATTTTTGTGATGTTTGGATCTATTTGGGTAGTAGTAGATATAGCTGACACTTTGCAGTCTGAGCAGATGATTGGGATGACGATGGAACCGCAAGTTTTAGCTGTTCTAAAAAGTATACTTTTATAACATTTAATTTCTTGAATATATTTCCTATTTTCTATTTGGGGTAGAATTTTACAGATATGCTTAAAACATTGCTACATCTCTGCTCCAGATTACAATCAGTGAAAGGATGTTCAGAAAGCACACATATAGAGCACGTTAGTTGTCCATTATGGGAAGCTATTGAGTGTCCCAACCTCTTGGCTATTTCAAACAACACAGGTCATTTGGCAGTTTAAGCAACCAGAGTTGTTGTTGTTGGAAGCTTAGGACTATTGAAAGTAAAAATTAAATGTTTCGTTGAAAAAATTCCCCACAGAGATTTGCGTGATGTTTCTGTTCTTTATCGTTGTCCGTGAATTATTCTCTATCGATTTTGTATTGACCATGCGCACCAATCATAACTATTATGCATATGCTTGTGATCGAATTAATTTGTGATATTGTTTTCACCACCGTCTTTTTACCCACATTTTATTTCACTGTCTTAAGCTTACGCGTAATTTAACTGCTTCTTTGCAATAAATATTTTTCTAGCTCCAAATGTGTTGCTCTTGACCTTATGCACAAACCCTTACAGGACCTTATGCATGAACCCTTTGCACAAAAATTTCATTGTTTGGTAAAAACACTATTAAAAATCTTGAATGAGAAGCAATATGATCAATATTTCCTTTGAATAAAACAAGGCATTTACCTGAGCACTAAATTGAGGGATTCATGAGATAAAGAAAGTATTTATCCTGACATGACCCACAAGCGAGACGCTTACCTGGAGGATACCCAGCATTGCAGCATCAGAACGATGATCCAACAAGAAAACTCTACCCGGCCCCCTTTATTTGCAGCACTAGTTCTACGACAAAGTCTCTTTGGGGACTCCAAAGAAACACCGCAGAGACTTATCAGAAGCAGATTGACATAGATTGACTTCGGCCACCCAAAGCCAAGCTTAGCACAAAATGGTGTCCTGGGAATACCTTTAAAGTTCACTTTAACTCAAAGGTATTCCCAGGACCCCATTTTTGTCCTAAAGGGGATGCCGCTTCCGACAAACAAAAGTACATTTTCTCTAACAGTAATAAAAATTATAAGAAAATTTAATTGAATCATAATTGCGCTCTTGGTAAAATATAAATTAAGTATATAATATTTATCTCAACGAAAAGATTAACTAATTTGCGTCTGTGATCTAGACAGGAAAAGAAATAATAAGTGAAAATTGAATAACAAGAAGGAGGGAGGAAAATAAAGATCCCTAGGGTATCTAGGGAGGGTGACACACCTGTGTTTACCAAAAACAGTACATCTCATAGAAAAGGAAAAAATTACGGCCAGTGCTTCACAAAACCTCACTACTTTTGACCCAATTTTCAATCATAATTTTCACTGCGCACTCCTCTATACAGTAAAAATGCATTGAATACAATAATAATGTACATTGACGCTAAGGCTACAATACGATTTTAATTACAAACCGTACAAATTATTAAGGTAAGTATTGAATTTTGTATATAACCTTGTATATGAAAAGCCCATGGGAGTTGCAAGCAATTATTAAACTTGTTCTTAACTTAGTATTGATAAATTAATCATCAAATACATTGTGCTGTACTTATACATTTATAAATATATTATATCAATGTAAATGTGTATTTTATTTTTATTTTGTCAGAATGTTGTTTTTTTTTTTTTTTGGTTCCTTTTAGTGAATTTTTAATTTTTTAGATCTTTTATTTTCGACTTTTTGTCATGCTCGTGACTTCCCTCCCCCCCCCCTCCCACGTAAGGTTATCACGTCCCTCTAAGGAGGTGCGCCCCACAGTTTGAGAAACGCTGGATTACGGTGTACATCAACTTTGGATGCTCGTAAGACCCCAATATAAGGTAAAAAAGGTAAGACCCCGAGATATAATGGGACTGATACACTTTAAATCTATCAAAGCTCAAAAACCTTACTTTGGCATGATATGTAAGCTTTGGAAGTTTGGTGCCTATTCAAGTATCGTTCTCGTCACTAGACTGCGGTTTGAATTTAAGAAGTCAGTCTTCAATAGCCTGCAAGTAGCTGAGATATTTAGTTATAATTAACACAACCAATGCATCCCCCTTTTGTAATAAGGAGCTTCTATTTGGGGTATATTAGTAATCTAATTCACTTAGATTTGAAAATTTACATATTCTTGCAATGACATCTGATCTTCAATTTGCTCGTGACAGGTAAACTTGTACATCTATTGAATTGGATCATAAGCATAATTTAAAGAGTCAGTTGCAAAATTTTGGTCATGCGTTGATCTTTTAACCCGCGGTCACTCGCGCCTGTTTTTCTACCGTCGTCACTCGCGGGGTGTAGAGAACACCCCAAACTCTTAACACGTGTATTTAATTATGAAAATAAAATTAAGTCATTATGATACATATTTATAAAGTACAAGATGTTTTTTGTATTATACAAATAAAATTATTAAATTTATTGCATACAAATGAGACTAACATTAATTTAAATAAACATACAAAATTTTCATTTTAAAACACATAATTTCATATTTTTTCATAAACCAGTAAAACGTCTATACCAGTATAATAAATACACTTTATAAATAATGAGATAATGATAGTAGAAAGTAGAAAAATAATATTTTAATCATTTTCCAAGCATTCAGAGCAGACTGTATACATATGCTCAACTTCTTGCTGGAGTTCTCAGCCCTCCAGATAAACTTTTGAAGGTCATTACATTCCAATCGTTCGAGAAAAAGGGAATGCATTAAGCCTGAAGGTTCAATGACCTAAAATGGGCAGCTACAGAAAAAATCATGGTTCTGCACATTCTTTTAAGAATCCTGGGAGGATTTTCTTGTTGCTGGGGTGTACAGAACACACCCCGCGCGAGTGATAGCGGGTTAATAGTAGTAAATTCAATCAATAACTGCTACTTCTAAATATAACTTTAAAATTTATTTTTATAAATAAAACATTTAATTTAATTATTATCCTAATGATTTGCCGTGACAATATTAACAATGTTTTTTTACTTGATTTTTATGTCAACACTTTTGGATTATTTTACATTGCTTGCCTTTAACCATCGATTAAAACAGTAAAATTACACAATCTGTTTTTCATTTATTTTTCTAGAATGCTTTTTATCACAGTGTAAGTCATATTCAATATTTTGAAATACATGATTCGCTTGATCATTTTATTTTTAACTATCAATAACTAACAATAGAGTTACTCAATAGCTAATAATCGAGGAAAATAAATCAATGTAAATCAAACGAATGGCGGCTAAAAAGCCTCTAATTCAAGAACTTAAATTTAATCCAAACGTGTTTAACTGAATTTTTCTATGGTAACCCGAAATATAGAACATATACAACAAACGGTGTAATAATATCCCTACCAATTATCACAATTTCTGAGCTCTATCTACGTGAACTGTATTTAACCCCACTTCAAAAGTCACATTTCGTGACACGTCTTTAGTACAATGTAACAATCAGTGACAAGTCTCTCTCGCGTATCGACAAACATGTGACACGGTTCTCTAGCAAATTCATAGCAAGTGGCATGGCTTTTCCAAATGTCAACCATCTCTCTATGACAAATAATGTTGGAGCATGTAGAGACAATTGAGTCAATTCATCGCTAGGCGTTTCTGCAATCGATTTACATTTGATAACATAGAACAGGTTGGACGACCATGTTTGATAAGCATTGAATACTAAGTGTGGTTTCACGCGTGCAGTATTGCGATGTGTGTGTTGATTTATTGGTTATTAACATTGAAATTTGTTGCTACCCGAAGGATATTGTCTATGGACCTTGAAATGTTGACCCATGGTCGAGTGAAGAGGACG